AGATCGTGCGTGTCGAGTGCGCGAAATGCAGGCGAGAGTGCGATTTGTTTTTGTCGCGGGCAACCCTCTGCGGAGATCGTGCGTGTCGAGCGCGCGAAATGCAGGCGAGAGGACGATTTGTGTCTGTCCGGCGCAACCCTCTGCGGAGATCGTGCGTGTCGTCGAGTGCGCGAAATGCAGGCGAGAGTGCCCGGCCCGGCGCAACCCTCTGCGGAGATCGTGCGTGTCGAGCGCGCGAAATGCAGGCAAGAGTGCGATTCGCGTCTGTCCGGCGCAACACTCTGCGGAGATCGTGCGTGTCGAGCACGCGAAATGCAGGCGAGAGTGCGATTTGTGTCTGTCCTGAGAACTGGCGACTGTCTAGTACAACGTAAGTACACGGAGTATCTGGGGAGCTGGAAGATTAGAACTGGCGACTTTGTACTACAACTGTAGTACGCGGAGCAAGCTGTGGAGCTGGAAGCTGTGAGAACTGGCGACTTTATAGTACAACTTTTGTTGTACGCGGGTGAGTCATCTCTTGCGGCTGCTCTGGCGCCCCTGCAGCTGAGTCGCCCGTTAGTATGTGTGTACTTCGCCGTCATGAGAAACGATGTTCGCTTGGAAGACACGAGTCGCTTGTCAGGATCGTGACGTCGTTTACTCTCAGGTCGCCCTGTTCGTGCAAACTTGAGTGTGAAATGTACGTTCTTCAGTTCTATTTGAACCTCTTCAGCGTTGCACTTACACAACCTTCAGTCTCGTACGCAACGCTCGTTTTGGAGACTTGGCGCTTCACTTTTGGAGGAAGTCTCGTAGGTAAACGCGGGTTTTGGAGACTTGGTGCTTCATTTGTGGAGGAAGTCTCGTACGAAACGCCGCAGATCTACCTCTCTACCCCCACACACCCACGCATCGGCGTAGCTACATCCCACCTGCGCATCACACGTTCGCCTGACTGTTGTGGTCATGGCTCTGGCTACTGACGCTCCCGAGTGGAGAACACAGCGAGAGCAGTGTATCAGAGACGCTTATGCTGATAGGAGCCGGTGGACTGCTTTGGATTATGTCACAGACCAACACAACTACAGCTTTAAGTCCATAGAAGCGTGGCCTTTGGATGCTGCTGTCATTTACAGCCCTACGGATCGAGCAGCGCTGTTGCTGGGAAGATTGAAAGCCGCGTGTAGCTTGGAAGACATTCTGGAGACCACGTCTTTGAAGGTCACTGTGGTGGTCACCATGTGCGCGCAGGAGATGCAGATCGCAGGCGCACCGACCGACTGGACCAAATACTTTCAACAACAAGATGTCTCTCACATCCAGTGTCACTTGGAGGACACGACATTGAAGCCGGCAAGGCGTTGGCTTGAGCAGATTCCGGACTTGGTGGCTTCCTGTTTGCGAAGTGGAAAACGGTCTGCAACCAGTTGTGGGCACAGTCCATGCTGGCTCGCCGGGGACAAATCCATGCGCGTGCTCTTTCACTGCTTTGGTGGCATCAATCGGAGCGCGGGGATTTTGTGCGCTTGGCTCGTTGTCGCTTACGAGCACTCCGCGCTGGAAGCCGTGCAGTTGCTGCTTCAAAAAAGACCAGCGTTGCGTCCTTGGCGCAATCGACCCTATGTCTTGGAAGCGTTGTGGCACCTGGAAGGTTTGCGCGCGGAATGGCAGAGAGGCTTCAGCGCAGCACGCCGAGACTAATTTGTGTCGCGGGTCGTCCGTCGAGACTGTTCGGGACGAAACTGCGACATCATCGCTTAAACGACGGGATCCGCGGCTGCCGGAAAAAGGGACGTGACGTTGATATGTGTCTACTTCACCCGCACGACAAACGATGCGCAGTTGGAACGCACGAGTCACTTGTCCTGATCGTAATGTCGTTTGCTCTCAGGTCGCAGTGTTGGTGCTTTGAAGGGCCTATCCGCGAGAGTGGAGCTGATGACTTGAAGCGCACTTACTGCGTACTTTCTGTGTGTCTGATACTTGAAGTCAGACTGATTTGCTTTGAGCCTCTGCTCGCAGGATATCTGCTCGCCGCTTGTTTTTGGGACCAGGATGAAGCGCACGCAAATCCATTTTGTGTGCGCTTCGACCTGCTGACGGTTTACTTCGTTGTTGTCTTGAAATGAGGCTGACTTGTCTTGAGCCGTTTGAAGAGCGACTGACTTCTTACGAACCTAAGACATATCTTTTCTCTCGCCTCTGTCCATTTACATCTTCGCACGCTCGCGTCCACGGATCTACCTCTCCACCTGCATACATCTACACATGTATGACGCCTGCGCATCCACACTGTCACTCCTTCACGTCCATCCTTTCTTTCTTTCTTTCTTTCTTTACCACAGTACTGGACAATCACATGTCTCGCTCTCGGGCCACCCGTCGTCTAGTTCTTTTTCTGCACCCCTGTCCCTGCCTCTTTGTTCTTAATTAGTAGCGATGCCCTTGGTTCTAGCGGCCTCTTGTTCCTAGTAGCGAGGCCAGAAACCATTAGTAGCATCCTTTCTTCAAGTGGGAACCTGCTGCATGCATACTTACCGGGCACGAACCTTGGAAACAGGTGTTGACGCATACACACACACACAGCCGCAGAGCGGCGCACTCTCGCTCTAGAGAGGAAACAGCGCAGTAAACAGCTTTGGGATTACCTAGGTTCTAGAAGGTGCCTACGACCGAATGACTACTTAGCCCTTGACTTGACTACTTAGCCCTTGACTACAAGGCCTGATTACGCACCTAAAATGCCTCTAGAAAAGAGTCAAACCTAGAAAGAGAAACAGAAAGGCAGGAGAGAAAGGAACGAAGCCGAGGGGTAGGGTCGGCAAAACGAGCCTCAAGAGCAACCTAACAAGCCTGAAAGAACACCTAACCTAACAAACTCGGCAGCATTGTATCCAGTTGTTCCGTGAAGATCCATTGATCAGGAAGCGGCTGTCCCTTGCGGGGATAACGCTGCACACCCAAGTGGGAAGATGCAGCAGGTCACACTTAGGCTCAAAACATCAATTTCAGTGGTGTTCAGAAATGCGTTAGACGTTTAATAGAGTGAATACTTAGCACTTGACTTGCAGAGCGGCATGGCGATGGGTCAGGAACAGGTATTGTTTTGAACACACGCATTAGCCCTTTACCACGCATTAACCCTTTAAAATGAATTAAGACATGAGTTAAACATTCGGGACAACATCAGGTACATGAACAACCATGAAACAAACCAAGGGACCACAACAACCGAGCAACAGTTAAAGCAGGTACAGGTGGATGATCAGTCCACCCTTCCCTCATCATACCGTAGTTTCACTGCGTACGGTGGGTATGACGAGCCGTACGCCCCTGCTGAACAAGTTTCCAATCAAGGTACCCCTCGGAACGGGGTGTGGCACACACACAGGCACATCTACGCACGCAAAGGCCCAAAGATGCCTAAGTAACATATCGATCGAATGCTATTGTGCACCCATGCTGCGGAATCTCAAGCAAGCAGGGGGGACTAGGATTTGCGAACGCGTTGTTGGTTTGTTTGTTTGCTTCTACTTGATGGGGGGGCTTGGTGCTTGGAGATGGTTGGAACATGGTCACTTTCACCATGTGATACAGCATAAATAAGAAGTCCGATTGATGCAGTGTCACCACCCGGCAAATCTGTGTAACCCGCCTCGTTAATTGTAAAAAACATTAAACGAATATCACTATTTTTGAGAAAGGCCTTTACTAACCATCATCATCCACTGCTACTGGCAACAGGCTTAGGATAGACCCAAAGTATACATATATATATTATATATACACATACTGTATGTAGTTTAGAGCCAATGTATTTTGATTGTTCAGAGTTGATGCATGGATGCAGAAAAGCATTAGCTGCACCGGCCTTGTAAGTTGTGATTTCCTGTGTTTTTTGGCCCAGGCCTCGGCAAGTTGCTATGGTTTGTGGCTTGGCCCTGGGCCAGGCAGATGAGATTGAGATGAAAGGCGTGACCTTCATGAGTGCTTCATTACCACGTCTGATGTTGTTTTTTGAACGTGAAAGGCCACTGTAGTATATATAGCCAATATATGCAACTGGATGTTGTTCCTTTGCAGCATGGCTGCGGGAAGACTGATATGCAATGTAAAAAAAGGAATTGTGTCACTCTGTTGAATGCTAGGTTGATTGGAAGCAACAACTCTCCCACGACACAGAAATCCAAACACATGCCCGGAAGCTTTTGTCGAAAACACATTCTTTGACCTTTCCCAGACAAGCGCGGGCAACTTGACGAAGTCGGAACGCGGATGGCGTTGCATGAATTGTCGCTTCGCTGGCCAAAAATGCAAACGTGCTTGATGTGTGGATCACGATGAGATTTGCCTTGCAGATAAATGCAAAGGATTAAGGACAAGTGATATGTTGCTACTGTTATGTTGCTACATGTTGCTAGTCTTTGAAACCGTGTCTCGACAAGGCACTCAACGCTATTTTGTCCCACCAAGGTCCATTCATGATTAGCAGAGAAGGGTTCGAGGTTTTGACATCCCTTTGAAAGCGATTCTGCAGATGTTTTGCGATGAATAGAATAGACCACATGGATAATATGTTTAAACACTGCATGGAGCAACTAAGCATGACAAGCCAAGTTTGCGGCTCGCAGGAAACTTGGCGTGACAAACTTGCAAGGCATACTCAACGTACTGAAGGCTTCCTGGATTGGGGTGAAGTCAAGATGTTGACCGAAGTATATAGGAGAACACATGTTTGGCTAAAGTAGTGGACAAGTATACATACGTGGCGTTGTAACTGTGACATGCTGTTTGTGTCTCTCAATTGCTCATACGTAAGTAAAGTCAATCAGCTACAACATTGGACTAGGCTGCTTCATTCTTCTCGTTCAAGCAGAAATGCTGAACCATGGAACAAGTCCATGCAAGAATTGAGTCACTGGTCGTAAACGTCATTCAAGTGAAAGAAGATTGTCGGAGTCCAATTGCAATCAGGGAAGCGAGTTTTACATGTTTTCCGTTATCCACAAATGACTGCGGTCTTTGACTGCTCGCGGCTTGTGCGAAGGAGCCTTTGACTTTGAAGGAAACCAAAGGTGGACCAAGGAGGGCTCAATGTTTTGGTTTGTGTAGAGAGTAGTTGATCATTTTGATCTTGTTGCAGCTGTGAATGATTCTGGCAAAGCTGCACATTATCCAGGATTGTTCAGTCAACCTTGGACAAAGACACGCCAATTGAGGCTTGGGAAAGCTCATTATTTGTAAAGTGTCATTCACTTCTCTTCAAGCTGTTTGCTCTTCATACATGTAGTGCGCAAGCGCTGATTTTTTTAACACAGCCTGCCAAGACCGTAACTGCAACTCTGTCTGGGGATACATTCAATGGACACATTCAGAGGTCCCTTAGTGAGGAATCAGAACACAGAACACTAGGAATCAATATGCAGATCTCGTTCGAAAGAAGAGACAGCACCGAGGCCTTCGTAGTGGCAGTTGAGGCCTATCGCCGAGATCGCGAACGCCGCATCGAGGCGAGGGAGAGGAAGCCGAAGTTGGAAGGTTCGAACAACGACACTGATAGTGAGGCCAGGAGCCCCTAGTAGCTTCTTGTTCCTAGTAGGTAAGGCCAGGAGCCCCTAGTAGCATTCTTGCTCCTAGTCTTTGATTGCAGTACGTTTGTTTGTACAGAATAGTGAGGTCCACACAGAGTGATTGCACTTTAGACCAGAGGGAGCTCCTGAAATTCTTTGGCTTAGGCTTAGGTCCTGCCATATCCTGCCATTAGGCAAGTGATATTCCAAAAGAGCTTTTTTGGGGCACAAAAGCATAGGCCTTCTTGTCCTGGCCGTTGAACAATTCTATTCAAGGAACGAAACAGAATAATGTCTTTTCAACCTTCGAATCTATTAGCTACTGTAACAACAGTAGCTTTTTGAGAAAACTGTCAGGTTGCCGGCGGCCTCGAGAGACTCAAGTTCTGTCAAAGTGCATTGTTGAACATTCTAGAACATTTGTGTAGCATATATTTGTTGTGCAATGTCATGGATATTCATAGATGTTTGTTTGTACTCTTCTGGTAGCCTCATCACAGTCATTGGCTCCAGGCGGGCGATGAATCCGCAGCTCTAAAAATTCCACGCATTGCGAAGGCGCAGTGTTTGGGAGCAAAGGGCATCGCTACTAGGAGCAAGAA